GCCGTTTAGTATCGTACCCTCGCCGGGTTCGGGGCCGGCGGCTTCTACGGCGAAGCCGAAGGGCTCGAACCCGTTCGGAGAGGCGAGGCCGAGAGAGGAGGTTCTGGCTGAGAAGGGACAGGACTGGAAAAAGATCGATGAGCAGCTCGATTCGATGAAGATTAAGGAGGTGGGCGAGAAAGCAGAGGGTGGATCTTCGTTTGGGAACAGGAGTTTTGGGATTGGGAATGGGCGTTCTAGTGACCACACTGAGATGAGTTGGAGGAAGCCTGACACCACGGAAGATGATGCTTCTTCCCACAGGTTTGTACTTTTGTTCCTTCAGATATGTTAAAAACATGTTAAAGTTCACTGCTTTATTGGATTTTGTTTCAAAAGGTTGATGCTTTTTCTTGTTATTTAACGGTTGATAATTCATAATTGTTTGATAATAAGCTACGTTGCTGAGAACTTGTATTGTTGTTAGAATTATGTTTCAGTCTAATAACTATATGATAATAACAGATTTAGTGGTTGATAAGTGACTCTTTGTTTGTCTATACGTTGTTTTGTTCCTGCTAGACAATTTCTTGCTTTTTTAGTTTTTGGGAAAAAAAAAACAAACTTTGTTCTTACTTGTTCGTATGTATGTTACAATTTGTGCGTGTGTCAAACGCTTGAGTTGCTCGTTTCAATTGAAGATAGTTATGACAAGTTTCTTGTACCGTTTTATTTTGGGGGACAAAAAGGCTCGGATGTGGTACTCGTTTAGAGTTATTTGTTATTGGAGATATTAGTGGTTTGCATAATTTGTGGACCTTTTTCTTTGTGCTATGACTATCTCTTATTTTCTTGGTACTTTCTAGAGAAATTCATCTTATTCGTTAGCTGAGAAGTGAGAATGCTTGCTTAGATTTTATGAATCCAACTTTTTTTTTTTCCTCTTCTTTCCATCTCTGCTGTAAAAGGAGAGCATGTGGGTGATCTTGTATTCAGATTAGAAGGAATTCTCAGAGTTGACAATCCGTTTGATTTTCGAACAGATAATTCACAAAACAGTTTAGGAATCAGGAAGATTGATTGGGAATATGTGTTCCCAGGAATTAAGTTTAAGTACCACCAAACAGTGGATTCTGTTGTAGCTTATTATTAGATGTCTTACTGTTAGGTTATTTTCTCTAATAGTTTCTTTCTATGGGATTACTGGATCATCATCAACTAATTTTTACTTTCTTTTGGTGCAGTGCTGAGCCTGAGAAAGATGAGGGCGGACCTGCTGAGGAGAACTGAAGACTATAGTTGACTAAAAATCACGAAAAGAAAGGGGAACGATTCAAGTTATTGGAGCTGTTGAATCCTGAGCTGAGACTCTATTTGTTTGTTATCTTAATATTTTGGCCGTGACTGATTATACAATTGAACTTTTATTTAACAATTTTGGTAGGTTGTTTAATGAGTTATAGGAGTTTTGCCCGTGATTGCTTTGCTTTAGAGTTTGTGGAATTGAAATATTTATTCCTTGAATAATTATTTTTTTTTCATTATTAAATTTCTGGTTTACAAAGTTGAGCACATGAGCGCATGTTTTGGTGTCTGTATATATGCAACGGAATAATTTGGAGATGCGTCTGCGTTGTTGTTTGATTTCTACGGAGTTCTGCTAATTCTCTTGCAAGATTTAGACTGCCTTTGCTTGCTTATTGATATACTCGTTAGTAGTTGTCAGCTGTCGCGTTTTAAGGACCTAGAAACGTGTCTTTTGTAGGCTTTTTTGTTGCATTCTAAACAAGAGAAATTTTCACGACCCGACCCGTTTAGTTCGTTGATTTAAAATGTTGATTTAAGATGTGATTTTATATGAAAATTTTTTATTGTAATAAAAAAATTAGATGTGATTGTTTTTAAAAAAAAAATTATTATAATAAAACTTAAATTATAAATTTAAATTGGTAAAATGAAAGGAGGTTAGTAATGTTTTCAGAAATGGAAAAGGTATATATTTCTCTAACGTTTCTACAATCACAATTCACAAGTCAGAAAAACGTGGCTACGTCTAATTGGTTTTTTTTTTTTTTTTTTTTTTTTTTTTTTTTTTTTTTTTGGGAGAATTTTCTATGTTTTAATAACCTTTATATATATAAGTATATATCCTTTTGTTGGATGAAAATGAACCCATGTTTTGCTTAAAACCGTTTGGTTTAGTGGCACTGGGATGTTTAAATGTGAAAGAAAGTTGCAGGTTCAATCTCATATTGTATAAAAGAAAATAAACTCATATATATATATATTAGAGCAGAGATGCTCCTGAGTGACCAACTATTTGTTTTGGGCGAGTTGGTTTTCTCATATTGAGTAAATATTGTCTTGCTTATTATACATAATATGTAATGTAACATCTTTATCCACTCTTTTCGTACTTAAAGAATGCTACTTTTGGCTTCTTGAACCTTTCATTCCTCCAAAATGTTTTCAATTTCTGTTCATCTTTTCGGTGAAAAGAGGAATGATTTCATTTCCTCTTGATCACTTTCAATGGACCAAATTCTTTCTCAAACACGGCCAGCAATGCAATCATTCTTGTTTGAACTGTACTTAGTCAATAGGAGACTTGAGATAGGATAAGACAAAAAGTCTTAATCCATAAATCCTACCCGTAATTTGTTGTTATGAGTCTAACGTTAGATTACACCAAAATCATATTTTAAAACAAAAGGAAAACAAACTTAACGAATTTTAATGAATATCTAAGAATCAAAGTTGCGTCCATTTTTCTTAATTAACTCGCAATGGAAGGATCAATTGTTTCATTTAACGTCTTCTTTAGTTGTTAGCTTGCTCCGTTGCTCTATGAATCATCTTGTGATCTTTTGACGGTCAAAATGCAAGAAAAACTCACCCCTCTCCATCAACGTAGTAATATTGTTTAGGCCACTTTATAGCATGATCTTCCTAATCTATAAATTCTTTAGAGAATGTTTGACGGGCTATAATACCTATTGGTATCGTATTTTAATTTTAGTCCATCGAAGGAATATCATGTAAATGTGTGATTAATTAAAAATCAATCCTATTTATTTATTTGTGAGGCCATTTGTTTTGCGAATTTATCGCAGAAAAAAACCTACCAGTGTTAGACAACTAGCTAACAGGTTAATAGTTGAGCATGGCTCAGAAAATGACTATTCAGTGCCAAAGACGGCCTGAACAGTGAACGACACTCTACTTACAATTAAGATCGTCATGTTATGGCAAATTCTTCAAAATTTCTAGTATTTTAATAAATAAAAATCAATCTTTAATCCTTCTAGCAATAATTCAAGAAGATTCGAAAACGGAAAAGAGAAAACACCCTGCAAACATTTTTATTCCTCTTAATTTGTTCTACAATGGTATTATTCCTTTTACTAACAGTCACACCCATGAGAGATAACATGCTAAACTTGATACAACAAAATCGGCGTTTGAAGTGATGAACTCTTTTATGTGAGACAGGTTTTAGAAAAATGGTGCATCTTTATGTCCCGTGATATGATACATAATGTAACTAAAAATCTAACTAAGAACGCTCGACCCTTACCTCTCTTAAATGCAACTCCGTACTGTTTCACCCTTTAGTCTAAACATGTGCATCTTTTTCTATACCTCATAAATATAGGCAGTTGAGCGTTCAATGCAACCATCTCTCACTATGAAACCCTTTATTTACTTCGAACTTTTTATGGTTTGGTCACATTTCTATGATCTGATCTGATCACACCAATCTCTTCACTTTATCATTTTACTCTCTTTCTCATTGGTGTTCTAGCCAATATTGTCTCATCTTTTTCACATATGGGTTGGTTAGAGAAGCTCTTGTTTGTTTGTTTTCTCATTTTTGGTGCAGCCATTGATGGAAGTCAGGGAGATGCAATGGTCACCGGAACTGTCTTCTGTGACCAATGCAAAGATGGCCAAAGGTCCTTGTTTGATTACCCGGTTTACGGTGAGTTATTACTTTTCTTTTCCTTAAATTTTTTGTTTTTTTTTTTCAAAAAACTCTTTTTGCGTATTGATGTAGAATTCATATTATGCATTTAGCATTTAGTTCCCAGGGCAAGATCAAGTGGCAATTGAAAATGTTACTTTGAGGCCTCTTCAAGACATATAATTCATATTAAGGAGGAGAAAAAGGAAAGAAAAAAAAAAAGGAAAGAGTAATAGATAATAAGCATTTCGTTTTCAAAGTATGCCGTTTCTTGATTTGTTAGCTAAGGAGTTATTATAAAGTGTCAAAATTAATTCAAGGATTTTGTTTGTTTAATGGCCTTCAACCAAGATGTCTATTGATGATTAATGAATCTTTTTTTGTTTAGTGTTAGGTGGTCAGGTCAGGCCCTTTTGGGAACAAATTTAATGTGCTCGACACATTATAAATTGTCTCTCCTAAATCTAAAAGAAAAAAAGCCTTTTTTTTTTGCAGGAGTAAAAATCAAAGTGGTCTGTACAGATAGTAATGGACAAGTCACAATGTCAAGGGAAGAGACCACAAATTGGTTTGGCAACTATGCAGTGAAGTTTGATGGAGCCCCAGATCTCAGTGGCTGTTATGCACAGGTTTCAAGCACTGGCCAGGACTCTCAATCGGGCTGCACCGCGGCTGCGGGACCAGCACAGCAACTTAGACTAATGTTTAGGATGTTTGACATGGAGATGTATGTAGCGAACTCATTGCTTGCTCAGCCTTCTCAGCCAATGTCAAATTGCCCAAGGTCCTATAACCCCGCCCCGGCTCCAGTAACACCCGCAAATCCACCTCCTGTGTATGCACCGGTGACACCTGCACCTGTAACTCCCACAAACCCTTCTCCACCGGCTTTCGGGCCGCCTCTCCCCCACTTGCCGCCGTTGCCTCCTCTGCCTCCAATGCCTCCAGTGCCTTTCTTGGAAGCCACGGCATGTTCTCATGAGTAAGCTATAATCACTTGCTCTTATTGGCCTCACTCAATGAAAATGTGTAATTTGCAGTATACTGTCCAATGACCATACAAAATATAGTCTAAATTTTGTAATGCAATACTAGCAATCAATGTTTACATGACTATATTCAAAACTTATTTAGTTTCACATTTGCCATGTGATATCGCAAGTACATATTCCCTAACTTTGTTACGTTATTTTTTGGCAGCAATTGGACAACGCCGGAATATAAATGCTACTGGAGGGCGGTAAACCCGGATACAAAGGTAGCGACAATTTTTGGACCATTTGCAGCAAGGCGATATGGAACAGACATGACATTGTGGCAAGGGCTACAGGGGAGAGGAGACTCTTACAGGACTCTCCTGAGGGAATCCATCACTTCATTTCTGAACTCCTACAACAGCCTCCAATTTCCTTACCATACAATTGGCGTCATCCAACATACCAACTGGGCATTGATGGGCTCGCCTCGAAGTGTTCTTCTTACCGCCTTGCGGTTTAAGAGGGCTAATTCTGGCTATGGGAATATCAGCTGCAGATTCACCCCATGCAAGGATTAATATTTTTAATTCAGTGATCTATATGTTTTTTTTGAAATTGTTGTATGGCGACATATATGTCATGAGTAGCAGTTCACCTTCGAGAATAAGATTACCTAGAGTTTGATTTATGCAATATTCAATGCGTTTTAATACTCGTCTAAATTGTTACAACGAAATTCGATATGCAAGAACTAAGTAGAAATCGTTACATCCACTATCCAGTAAGTTACACCTTGACGGACTACTAAACCAATTTCTACTCATCATTCTGATTCGTTTCTGTTTCACCACATAAATCTTGACAAACATCATTTTAGTTTATTTTCTTTGATCATGCTTAGAAGATGAAATACCTTATTTCACCTTTTTAAATTGAACCACAGAAATTCATGAAGAACGTGTGAATTGACAAACGCAGCTGCCTACATTGCCAACAGTGGCGTCAGCTAGAACGCGTCATATAATCTGATATGAGAAAAGTCCGAAGCATGCAAATATCACATGAACAGTACTGCCCATTACAGAAGAAGTGGATGGGCAGAGAAAATTAATGGGCGCGTTTGGAACTCATTCTAAAATAATTTTATTTTTTATATGAAAATGTTTTCAATCTCAGACAGAAATTATTTTTGAAAATGCGTTTGGTAGTTTTATCAAGAGATTATTTTCAGTGTAAAAAAATCTACTAATGTCTCTCTTTCTCTGTCTCTGCTCGAGAGAGGAGAAAACGAAAATAAAAAATAAAAAACGATTAAAAGTCATTTTTCATTTCTCTCTCATTTTACACTAAACAAAAAAATCATTTTCATTTCCGTTTTTTATCTTTATTGCGTTAAACGCCGTTTTAAAAATATTTTCATTTTTTTTTTTCAAAAAACGTAAAAAAAAAAAAACGGAATTAATTCTAAACATGGCCTGTAGCTTGATATTCTCTAATACCTTCCATAATCAGACTCTCAAGTTGATTTGTTGGGAGTCTAGGAAAGCCTTCATTTTAATCAGGCTTATACGTTGATGTTGAATTCCCGTGATTTTGGGATTCTTTAACTTGGATTCTTACTGTTCTTCTCGTTTTTAATTTCGATGTTCTTCATACTTTATAGGTTATTGTCGTTACCGGTTCGGTATACACTGTTGTCGTTCGTACTGTCGTTTTATTGGTTTCTTGTCGTTTTCGCTCGTTCTTGACTTTCGTATTAAAAGCTTTTAATTCCCCCTAAAAAAAAAAAAAAATCTCACGCAGCGGTTCTTGACTTTTGTTGTCGTTTTATTGTGTCGGTCTCTATATTCATTTTTATAACACTTGTCAGTTCACTAGTTGAACTTACAAAACGGTTCAAAGAATGAAGCTTGAGGAGCTTTAGGTACGCAGTTCAAGAATCAAGACTAGGCAAGAAAATGATAGTCAATGGCATAAAATCCCCTCCCTCCTTACCGTTGATCTTAGTACTTTTAGGCTTGATCAGCACGATCAACGGATCAGAGTTCTCAATCATCGAGGCCACAGTCGCCGACATTCAACGCGCCTTCGCCGACGGCCGGCTGACTTCGCGGCAGCTGGTCGACTTCTACATTGACCGGATCGAGAGCCTGAATCCCCTGCTTCGCGGCGTACTGGAAATCAACCCAGACGCGCGAGATCAGGCGGAGATAGCGGACAGAGAGAGGAGGGATGAGGCAAATTGTGGCCGTGGGTCGTCGTTGGGAGAGCTTCACGGCGTGCCGGTGTTGATTAAGGAAAGCATAGCGACGAAGGACAAGATGAACACGACGGCGGGGTCGTACGCACTGCTGGGATCGGAGGTGGCGAGGGATGCGACGGTGGTGGAGAGGTTGAGAAGCGCAGGGGCTGTGATATTGGGGAAGGCTAGTCTTACCGAGTGGTACGGTATTCGCTCTCCGCTCATTCCCAATGGTTGGTGTGCCAGAGGGGGACAGGCCGTGGTTCGTTTTCTCTCTCTCTCTCTCTCGACATGTTAAACATGTTGATAAACCGTCTATATTCATAACTCGATGGAGATATATATTTTGATTCTTTAAGAGTGCATGTCTTTGAGTCTTTAAATAAAATAAAATAAAATAAAAATAAAAATAAAATCAATGTGTGTCAACTGATGTAATTATGAAACTCAGGAACCGATATAATTATGTAAATGATGTTACCTATTCAAAAATGTGGAGGGCCACTTTTTTGCTTTAATATCTGTATTGTGTCGTTTATTATTTATAGTATGTCTATATGATTAAGATACAATGATTAATTTGAAAAACAAAACTACCTATTTGTTATAATGCTCGGAAAAAAAAAGATATTGATACTAAAATTGATTGAAATATTCCATGAGAGAGAGACTGGTTTATGGATATTGTTGAATTAAATGAACTGGGGAAAAAAAAAACAACCAAGTGGGAGTCCATCAGATAGGTTTAACATTGAGTTATAACTGATAACGTTATTGGAAGAAAAGGATTGGTACTTCAAAATTTTGGTTATTTAACAAACTGAGGATTCTGATTAGGCTAACGTGATTACATGGAAAATGTTATGTAGAACCCTTATGTTGAGTCGGGGGACCCATGTGGATCAAGTAGTGGGTCCGCCATATCAGTTGCAGCAAACATGGTGGCAGTGTCTGTGGGAACTGAAACTGATGCCTCCATCATCTGCCCAGCCAATCACAACTCCGTCGTCGGAATCAAACCCACCGTTGGCCTCACCAGCCGCGCTGGCGTTGTCCCAATCTCCCCTCGTCAGGACACAATCGGGTACATGTACTCAGCCAATTCTATGCTGCTAGTCATAAACTGAAAACGAATAACATTTGTCTCAAGTACAGAACATAAAAAAAGGCCTGTTTGGTTACTTGGCAAACAAGCCAGCCGAGCTTATTTAGTATAGTTTTGGGCATATATGCAGGCCCATATGCAGGACAGTTTCAGATGCAGTTCATGTGCTTGATGCAATTGTGGGTTATGATCCAAGAGACCATGAAGCAACAAAATCGGCGGCAAAGTTCATTCCTGGAGGTGGTTACAAACAGTTTTTAAACAAAGATGGGCTAAAAGGGAAGAGACTTGGAGTTGTAAGGAATCCATTTTTAGATTCTTATAATAAATCCTCTGCTATTTCATCCTTTGAGCATCATCTTGACACATTAAGGTAAGAGATGGCTGGCCATCTTTTAGTTGATGTAGAACATGTTTTCCTTGTTACTTTCAAAAAACTAGGCCTGGTTAGTTACTGAATTAAGTTCTTGTACTTTTGGATCATGTGATCTGTAAATTCAAGGCAAAAAGGTGCAACCATAATCGATAAGTTGGAGATAGAAAACATTGATATCATTCTGGATCCTTATCAGAGTGGAGAAGCAGTCGCACTATTAAGTGAGTTTAAAGTCAACATAAAGGAATATCTCAAGGAGCTAACAAAATCGCCTGTGAGGTCTCTTGCAGACATCATTGCCTTCAACTCGAACAACCCTGATTTGGTAAGCACACATCCATGACTCTCACAATTGTATGAAAAAAGAAAAAAGCAACAAGATACTCTTTTTAAACCGTTTATTTTCAACTGTTTTGAAATGAAAATCAGGAAATGATTAAGGAATATGGGCAAGACGAGTTTCTTATATCGGAGACGACGAGTGGCATTGGAGAAGACGTGTTGAAGGCAGTGGAGTTGATGAAGAAATTGTCAGAAGACGGATTCGAGAAACTAATGAAGGAAAATGAGTTAGATGCAATGGTGACACTGGGATGGGGTGCTTCGACAGTGCTGGCAATTGGAGGTTACCCAGCAATTACTGTGCCCGCTGGTTATGAAAGCGATGGAATGCCCTTTGGTATCTGTTTCGGAGGATTAAAGGGTGCTGAGCCCAAGTTGATTGAGATTGCTTTTGCTTTTGAACAATCTACCAAGGTGCGAAGAGCTCCACCGGTCTTGAAAGTGGGATATTGAGGAATAATTCCTGAAAAACGACGTGAGAATGGATTATTAATGTTTGCTGAGGGTGAACTACCATTTTCTACATTGTAGTTTAACACTTTATCGAATTGGTGTCTTTGTTGCTGAAAATCACTAAAATAGTCATTTAAGGCCTCCAGAAATTAAATAATACAAAGATCTAGCAATAAAAAACAAATTTTGAGACGCACGTCAGCTGCTTTGAAAATTTATCCAATTGTGATTTTTTTTTTTCCGGCTGAAATCCAATTGTAAACTTCCTAAGATGAGATTTTGTTAACCATTATATCAAATTTGAATTGAACGTGTAAGATAAGCATTTCCTCTAATAAAAAATTGATACTTGATACTAGTAAACAAAAGAAAAAAGTTTAAATAATAATGAAAACAATATATAGTATTAGCTTGCCTGTTGGAGTAGATTGAAGTTGGTCATTCGCTTTCGATTGCCATGGCAATCAAGAATGGAGCTTTTTTCCTCTCTCTTCAGTTCATCCTGGTCGTGATCACAACAGTCAACAGAATCAACGGCCAGGAATTCAGTCTCCATGAAGCAACAATCGAAGGGATCCAAAGAGCCTTCGCGGAGAATCGGCTAACGTCGAGACAGCTGGTGGAGTTCTACCTCCGCCAAATCGAAACCCTAAATCCCGCACTTCGCAGCGTGGTGGAGGTCAATCCCGACGCGCGGAAGCAGGCGGAGGAGGCCGACCGCCGGAGAAGAAGCTCGAGAGCGGATCGGCGGGGAGAGCTGGAGGGAATTCCGGTGCTGTTAAAGGACACGATGGCGACGAAAGACAAGATGAATACGACGGCGGGATCGTACGCGCTGCTCGGATCGGTGGTGCCTCGGGACGCCGGAGTGGTGGAGAAGCTTAGGGCCGCCGGGGCTGTCATTTTGGGGAAAGCTAGTCTCACCGAGTGGTACTCGTTTCGTGGTATTGGTCGCGTTCCTAATGGTTGGTGCGCTAGAGCTGGACAAGGCGTGGTCAGTCTGTCACCGTCATTTAAAATTTTTTTTTTTGTTAGTTGTTTATTGACTTATCATTCAAGAAAAAAGAGAGCAAAACAAAAAACAAAAAACAAAAAAGGATTTAGTTATGCAATTAAAAAAGTCTTAACTCCATCAACGTTTGTTTCTTGAAAAAAGATACACACAAAAACTCGGTTGAAAATTTTAGGTAAATATTTGTAATTTACATGTTCTTGTTAAATCTCTAAATGCCGTTTAGTTCTCTGATTTGAGTTTTTAATTCGAGTTGATATATGATTTTATGTGAGAATTTTTTTTTAAAAATTAAATATAACTGTTTCTGAAAATTTTTTATTATAATAAAACTTGAACTCTAAACAATAAACAGAAACAGGGTCGGACAACATTTGTTAAGAAATGGACAACTAATTACTGGCAACAGAGTAACTCTGCATCGAAAATAGTACAACTAATTTTCCGTCTGGGGGAATCTTAGTTGTTGAAGACTATCACTTTGTTGTGAACTAAATTGAACTCTGCGATGTGTTAAAACCAATACAGAATCCTTATGTAGCATCCGGAGATCCATGTGGCTCAAGCAGTGGATCAGCCATTTCAGTAGCTGCAAACATGGTCAGGGTATCACTTGGGTCCGAGACTCATGGCTCCATACTCTGCCCATCAGACCACAACTCTGTCGACGGGGTCAAGCCCACAGTTGGGCTCACTAGCCGTGCCGGGGTCATTCCCGTTTTGCCTCCCCATGACACCATTGGGTTAGGACTTCTATTCTGATATTATAGCGCTTGTAGTTGTAATGATGTCACTTGACGTGGTAGAATTGTGTATTTACAAAAGTAACATGCATAGTTTGATGCGTTTAAAATGGTTTAATGAAACACTTCCTTTATGATGTATTATCAGGCCTATAAGCAGGACAGTTTCTGATGCGGTTTACGTACTCGATGCAATTGTGGGCTTTGATAAACAAGACTACGAAGCAACAAAAGAAGCGGCTAAATTCATTCCTTTGGGTGGTTATAAACAGTTTCTCAAATTAGATGGGCTCAGAGGAAAGAGACTCGGAGTTGTTCGGAAGCCATTTGTAGATTTTTTAAACAAGTCCTCTGTCTTACAAGCTTTTGAAAGTCATTTGAACACATTGAGGTATCACGGGAAGATTTAGTTCGACTTTCTTGTTTCCGTAGAAAAGGAAGTTAAATTGAGCACACACTGATTGATAATTTGGGTTTTTATTTCTTTAAAAATTTAGACAAAGGGGCGCAACTATAGTGGACAATCTTGAAATAGAAAACGTAAATGTAGTGCTGAATCCAAGTCGAAGTGGTGAACTTACTGCAATGTTGGCCGAGTTCAAGCTCTCTGTAAATGAGTACTTAAAGGAACTCGTTGCTTCTCCAGTGAGATCGCTTGCTGACATTATTGCATTCAACAAAAATCACCCTGATTTGGTAACAATCTTATTCTCAAATCTCAAATTTTATCTTGGAAAGTTTAGTACTCGTTGATAGAGTTTATTGACACATGTAGGAAAACATTCAACAATCTTGTGTGTCATGTTTGTCCAATGCAGGAGAAAACTGAAGAATATGGTCAACACACTTTTATCCAATCAGAGAAGACAAATGGGATCGGAGAAAAGGAAATGAAGGCAACTGAGTTGATGAAAAATCTTTCACGAGCCGGGTTTGAGAAACTGATGGTGGAAAATGAACTGGATGCGCTGGTGACACCAGGTACAGGTGCTATTTCTGTGTTGGCAATTGGAGGCTACCCTGGGATTACTGTCCCAGCAGGATACGACGACAACGGAATGCCATTTGGTCTCTGTTTTGGCGGGTTGAAGGGTACAGAACCAAAGCTAATTGAGGCTGCTTATGCCTTTGAACAAGCCACCATGATCAGGAGACCATCTTTTCCTAAATTGTTTGAATTGATAGATCGTAACAAAGGTGGTGTTGGAAGTTTTTAGTTGATTTAGTGTCATCCTGGTGAAGTAATGAAATATTTTTACGTGTATCCAACCAAATGAACATTTTATGTGGTTTGATCTATTTAAAAATACTAAGCCTACGCTTGATCTTGTTGGATGGTTAAAAGGGACCAGCATACTTGGCTACTTCAAATCCTAAAGCGACAATAGACCACCTAATAACTTTTTTGCACTATCCAACTTTTTTTTCTTTTTCAACGTGAATAAGGAAATGATGAAATAGCAATTTGTGCTGGTTTCATACTTGCTTTTAAAAAGATAATGGTGTCTACTTTCAATAGAAAATGGTGTCGCATATTCCGCGAGCATGCATGAAGCTAAGGCAGTTTAGTCTTCAGTTTTTTGGTGAATAAAAAAAGAATTAAGTGGTGTCTTCACATTCTTATTTAACGTTATTTTGAGAATTTGTTCAGACTACAGGTGAAACGGAAACGGAAAGGAGATCTTTTTATGCTCTCTTAGAAGTGGATGCACATCACCACACAGAGAATCGAGCCTCTGACGGTAAAAGAGATATACATGAAGCAATCATCATTCACAATTATGCCACGTGTTCAGTTTGAAATTTATTTATTAAGGTGATGTTTGGTAGAGGAATTCGTTCTCTTATTCGAATTATAATTCGTGGTTCGTTACAGTATTTTTTTTCACAAAAAATACACATAAATCGAAAATAATTCTAATCACATGGTTCTAATCTATGAACCAAACAGACTCTAAGGTTCCGTTCATTTCGCTGATTCGAGTTTAGAATTTGAGTTTTTCTACAGTAAAAAGCTCTCACAAACAATCACATCTAACTTTTTTACTATAGTAAAAAACTTTCATATAAAGTCACATCTTAACTCAAATTTTAAACTCAAATCAGCAAAGTGAACGTGACCTAAAGGTTAGTCACCGCGTTGTAGTGCTTTGCTGGTCCCAATTGTACCTTTTTATTGAGCATGTATGTCAGAAAAGGCTTAAATGGTAGGTGAATTTGTCGTTAAGATATATTGATTGACAATGATTATGTAAAGCTAATTGTGGTAGATTACATGTATTATACCATGGAGGACGTCGTAATTTCCTTCTTTTGTTTTTTTTGTTTTTTTTTTTTTGTGTTGAATAAAAAAACGATAAAATAGAAGAGGGTAACATTTTCCTACAAGGATTATTAACTAGCCTTGTATTGTATGAGGATGCATATTCTCCAACTAATATAGCGAGATGAAGGAACAATGCTAAGAGGATTCATGGCATTAAACACTATATAAATAGAAGGTGGGTTCCATAATATGGAGCCGATTTTTTTGTTGTTGTGGTTTTAACATTGATGATTTCTCCAAGCATTTCTCATAAGGAAAATACTTGAATCTAAAACTGGTATGTAAATCCATTTTGGTTTCCTATATTTTATGTAAAAACAAAAAGTTGAGACGACATGTTTGTGTTATGGTTTCTCCAACTAATAGACAAATAAATTATAATAAGGAATTACAGTACAAAAATTAATTAGTTTCAACGTTTAATCTATTGACCACTTAGCCAACAAGAGATGGAAACTTAGCTTTTAAATTTCCCAACCACCCTTTAAAATATGTTTCTAAGCATGCTATATTGATCCAATTTATTTTCTATTTAATTTTTTTTTTTGATTTTGTATTTCAAACTCTTATATGGAGATTATATATTTTCAGTATGTTAATAACATCGAGCTTGAATACAAGAATAAGTATCAATATCACATGTTTCAGAACACTAATTATTTTTATCTTCAAATCTAAAAATGCGTCTATAGTTTACTAGAATAAATGGTAGTTTTCTTAAAAACTTAAACTAGACGCATACTGGTATACTAATATCTATCTATTATAATAAAACTAATCATAGAACTTATCCTATTAATTTAATTTCAGAAAGATAGCAAAAATTTTCCCCTAGGCTTTACCTACCACAAACATGAAGCTAAGTGGTGGTTGGTGGTGAGCATGATTTGTTCAAAAAGCTTAACACCACCTAAATTTTGTTCTTTAAAAAAAAAAAAAAAAAAAATTATGAAATAAAGTAGCATGTAGCGGATATGATGTGTCGTTTTTGGACATAATAATTCAACTAGCTAGGTCCCATTTGAAGTTGTCATCATCGCAGCCCAACAAATTCCACAGGTATAAAATGACCATCCAAAAAAAAATATCCAGTATGCATTTACATGGTTCACACGTTTAACACGCTTTGATATAACAGTGGAGGGAAATATCTCGTAGTTGACTTATATTGTATAATAATAATTATATTATATTATATTATATTTTATATATTATATTAATTATATTAATATATAAAATATTAGTGTTATATATAATATAAGGGTAATTTTATTAAGATGAAAATATTCATGTTATATTGATCCAATTTATTTTCTATTTAATTTTATTTTTTATTTTGTATTTCAAACTCTTATATGGAGATTATATATTTTCAGTATGTTAATAACATCGAGCTTGAATACAAGAATCAGTATCAATATCACATGTTTCAGAACACTAATTATTTTTTTGAGGTATAATCAATAATTATCTTCAAATCTAAAAATGCGTCTATAGTTTACTAGAATAAATGGTAGTTTTCTTAAAAACTTAAACTAGACGCATACTGGTATACTAATATCTATCTATTATAATAAAACTAATCATAGAACTTATCCTATTAATTTAATTTCAGAAAGATAGCAAAAATTTTTCCCTAGGCTTTACCTACCACAAACATGAAGCTAAGTGGTGGTTGGTGAGCATGATTTGTTCAAAAAGCTTAACACCACCTAAATTTTGTTCTTTTTAAAAAAAAAAAAAAAAATTATGAAATAAAGTAGCATGTAGCGGATATGATGTGTCGTTTTTGGACATAATAATTCAACTAGCTAGGTCCCATTTGAAGTTGTCATCATCGCAGCCCAACAAATTCCACAGGTATAAAATGACCATCCAAAAAAAAATATCCAGTATGCATTTACATGGTTCACACGTTTAACACGCTTTGATATAACAGTGGAGGGAAATATCTGGTAGTTGACTTGTCTATTCACAATTGTCCAATGCCAATATCAATATACCATCCATCTTATCTGTTTGAAAGGATGTTGTATAGGACTAATTTGTGGTCAATAAAAATAATATTGTGTCATACTTTAGGATGGAACTAGGGGTCAAAAATTAAGTAATTAAGAAACTTGTAACAAAAAAATCGAATATTAATAAAATGGTAATTTTCCGTATGTGTATTCTCATGTGCTAAAGAATATATGGGAAAAGAGAAATATTTTTTTTTTGCAAAACAAACTGACGTCCAGGCAAGTGGTCGAGTTCTACTTGGGACGAATCCGCAGGCTGAATCCGGTGCTGAAAGGGGTCATAAAAGTGAACCCGGACGCGCTTTATCTGGACGACAAGGCTGACCACGAGCGCAAGGTTAAGGCTCCGATATCATTCTCTAGGTTGCATGGAATTCCTGTTCTGGTGAAGGATAATATTGCCACCAAAGACAAGATGAACACCACAGCAGGCTCGTTCGCGTTGCTGGGATCCGACGTGCCTCGGGACGCCGGCGTTGTGGCGAAGCTGAAGAAAGCAGGGGCGATCATACTAGGAAAGGCCAGCCTGAGCGAGTGGTCTGGTTTCAGAGGGGCGCCTCCTGGTTGGAGCGCCAGAGGTGGCCAAGGGGTGGTAAGTAGTGATGATCATCTCTTTTATAGATTGGTTTCATCTTATGTTATTTATTTATTTTTCAACAATTTACACATATAGGTAGGCATAAAAACACTGTACGTACAAGCTCGAATTGTACGTGACGATTATTAGCACCGAATTTATCGTCTTTAGGATAAAGAAACAACCTTTTGGTTGTTTAACTGGTAATTCAAGTCAGATAAATATATGTATATACACACACACACACACACACACATATTATCATTTGTACTTGTAACTTGTATATTGTATATGATAATAAATATAATATTTACTATTGTACTTGACATTAAAAACTTTTATAATAAGCTAGATAAAAAGCCAAAAATGAGCTACCGACCATTATGATGACGACATAACAACCGAATACTATAAAGGGAAGTACGGCACTGTAAAAAAATACAAGGAATAATGTAGAAACGACAACAAAACTTTAAAACGACAATAGAATATAACAATGAAGTAACAACCTGAAAACGACAACGTTACAGCAAAATGATCCAAAGAATAATTTTAAACGACAAGATAAATATAAGTTGACAATAATATTTGAAAACGACAAAACAACTTGAACTTCTTAAAATACGAAAACGGTATTAAAACGTGAAAGCAATATACCACATAAAACGACGATAAAATATGAAACGACAAACCAAAAAAGAACAACGTTATTGCAATTTGCAAAGCGATACTTAGAGCAACCTTGGAATGACAATGATGATTTAAGAAAAACCTTGAAATGATAATAAAAATGAAAGCGACGTTAAAACGTGAAACGGCATAAAAGCTTCAAATGAACAGTATAAAAATATAAAAGAAAATGACAAAATAACCTAAGAAGGACGATAAAATTTGAAAAGATAACTGGGGAAAGAATAAGGCGACATTAAAGGTTGTAAAAGATGCGAAGAAGAAACATGACAAAAAAAGTGTTGCAAAACTACTTCACAAGGGCAATAACGGGTGCGATCATCGGGAAAACGGATGAACGGCAATACCAATTAGTAATTGGGAAAAACACACAAATAACTTGTTCATATATATAAATTAGGGCAACTAAATTTATAAGTTTGGTTTCATCCCTTACGGTGATTTTACCACAAAGGTCAATCCGTGTGACCTTTTACGTACGATAAATCTCCGAAGCAATAATTAGGCTCCATAACTTAAAGAAAATGAAATAAAACTAAAAACTAATAGGAATTGAGAAACAAAAACAAAACATATAATGTAACAACCGCCAACTTATGAGACGTTTGTTTCCTATATTCATTCCTGATTCTGAATCATGATTCATGATTCTCTACAGTATTTTTCTCTCACAAGTTCCTGATTTTGAATCATGATTCATGATTCTCCACAGTGTTTTTCTCTCACAAAAAACACACGTAAAACAAGAATGATTTTGAATCATGATTATGAAT